TCTTTCCTTTTCTACTAACATAGTCATTGCACCCACCTGCCTGCCAGATGAGCATTCATGGCTGAACTCCACCACTCAGGATCCTATCTTTCTCAAGGAATCACTTTGTGGAGAGTCTTTTGCACAGGGCTTTTCAAGGATACTGCACCTTTCCATTCCCAACACATTTCTTTTTCTCAGCCTTGGTAGAGGGTGTGTCTAGGTCCTCCTAGAAGATATATCAGGTGACAGGCAGGAGAAACATATAAGTTCCTTTCAACTTTCTCATATTATTAAATCTTTTGGATTCCTTTCTTTTGGCTTAACAGGGAAATTTTGAAGGCCTACTTTGTTAAATGCCAAGCTTAGGTTTCAGTCAACCAACCAGTCATTACAGCTACAATGCAGCTCTTCAAGGCAGCAGGTTATGCCCAAACTTTGGACATTAGTACCCGTATCAACAGATGTAGTCAATTCCAGTATTTTATTTCCCTTTAGGTTCTTGTGGATGTGCATTTAGCCAGTGTATAGCTGCTTCCTCTAAACACAGACGTCAGCTGCATGGATCTAACTCTAGGTTTGAAAGTAATAAGCAGAGAAGATGAGAACTCCTTGGTATTTCCTAATAAGCAATTGCTCAGGTAAGGTCCAATGGTAACAACTGGTGAGTGACCTCATCAGTGTGGAAGCTGATGTTTCTGCTGACATGGAAAGAGGGTGGAGTCAGGGCTCAAAGTTCCCAGATTGCCTCTTGTTTCTTTGTTTTGAGTCCAGTTATTCTTGTTGACAAGGTCTTCCCATGAGCCTCATGGGTCATGAGGAATAAGCAGGAGTCTTGTTGCTGGAGCTGGTAGAGTTAGAGCCTGGTCTCTGGCAGCTCCAACAACTAGACTCTGTTACTTATCCTCAACAGGCCAATTAAAAAGAAGTGCTAGGAAAAGAAGAGAAAGGATGTTTAGCTAATGGCTACACTGAGGGGAAGAACAAATTAAGAAATCCAGTGACCATCCACACTCTAACTTCAGGGTCCTAACAAGAGGTTTAAATGGAGAACAAGAGATGTGCACAACTAAGCAGTCCTTTTTATGGTGTGGTCCTGATCATACTGTCATCACCAAGAGGTCCCGATTCTTCAGCTAGGTGGTCTGACAACTCAGTACTATATGGAATAAAAAACAAAGCCCCTGTTTGGTTGGTACCAGGATCCATCCTTTTCTTTCACCTAGCATAGATCGATTTTTAGGGAAATTTTAATTTCTTGAGGCTGTTGCTCCAACAGTCTTACAGCCAAATGGAGGGATACAAGTGTCTCTTTAGAATACCTTCCTCCCTGCCAGGAAAGTTACATTATATTCATTCCCTCTGCCCAAAATCATGATGGATAGGGTCAGAAGAACCAGAGAATTTTACAAAGAATAAGTTTTGCAATGTAATTTCCCTCCCTCTAACAGTTCTGGGAGTCTAAATCAAGCCTCCATGCATTAGCCAATGTGAGAGAGAATTAAACAACGGGAGAACTGCTGCTGAGGCTTCATTAAAGAAAATGGAGAGAGCTTAGAATAGCTAGTATAAACGGTGCTGCTGGCTTTAACTGTGGAGTTATCCTTGGCTGCCCAGTGTATGACCCAGAAAAGATTAAAGCGGTGGTATACTTCCTGCCAGGATGAGTTAGGCAGATAGCAGAGGTGCCTGGCTCTGGATTCTCAAGGATGAGTGCCTAGCATAGGGGCAGTTTCTTAGCTACAAAGTCTCTGCTTTTACAAGTAATCATTATTTATCATATATACATCCATGAGCACTCTAACTGGACTAACAAAACATACACATGCTTATACGTGCTTATGTACGAATATATTCTCTCTCTCTTCCTTCCTCTCTTTTCTCTTGCTCAGTAGAGTGGTATTCTGTTAACCAAAGCCTTTCATATAGTAGCAACACTGCTATATTATATAGATGGATATTTATAGATTGTTCATTTATATTTCTCTAACTAGAATTTGTCTATCTACTGAAGCTCAGCATCAGATTGAGGACTCAGGACTAAGTCCGTCATAGTGGGCAAAGCATGGCAGCAGGAGGTTGAGAGCAGTCTGATAGTCAGGAAGCAGAGAGATAACATTTTATCTGCACATAGTAATAAAAAATGGAGAACAGGAAGTGCAGCCAGGCTATGAAAGCTCCTCACACCCCACACATTTCTTCCAGGAAGGTTCTACCTCCTAAAAGTTTCAGAACTTTTCCGAACAGTGCCACCACTGGGGACTAAGTTTGCAAATGCATGGGCCTATGAGGATATTTGTCATTCAACCACCAGTCACCATTAGTGCTTGTTTATAGTGTCAGTCTCATGGAACACTGTAAGTTTTCTAAATTATGTGGTGAATGCCTTCTAAGCTCTGGGCCAACTGACCATCTCTTATGACCCTGCAGAAGTTGCATATATGCAGGCAGATGCAGCCAACTTCCTGAAGGTAATGTAACCTAATACAAAATCATAACCTTACTTAAAAATATAGTGGTTTTTTGTGTTTTTGTTTTCAGTTACTCAGTTGTGCAATTCTTTGGTGTGAACTACTGTTAATGTCAGAAGGCTGGACACATCACTGGTGGAAATTACAGTTACCAGCAAGGGAGATTTCCAGACCACTATCAAGATTTCTTAGTTTTATTTACTAAATTGCAAGCTTAGAGACCAGAAAAGGTTTTTGTTGTTGTTGTTGTAGTGGTGGTGGTAGTGGATTCTCCACACGGGAAGTCAAACATTTGAACATTCTGGGCATGCTTTTAACTGAGCTGCAGTCATGTCTCCCAGAAAGGCATTCTAATGAGGACTTCCAGGTATTGATTTGAATGAAAGTTGGTTTAAAAATAAAGATAAACTTATATGACCCTTCTTCACCCACTTTGTGAAGAGCTGGTTGCTGTAATTCTACATTTTTCTTTCTTCCTTTCTCTTTCTTTTTCCTTTCTTTCTTCTTTTCCTTCTTCCTGTTCCTTCCTTTCTTTCCTTTCTTTCTTTTCTTCCTTCCTTCAAAAAGAGGTGAAAAAGAGGGCACTGGATCTCCTGGAACTAGAGTTACAGGTGGTTGTGAGTCACCATGCTGCATGCTGTGAACTGAACCCAGTCCCCTGGAGAGGTAGCAAGTGTTCTTAACTGCCAAACCATCTTTCCAGGGCCTGCCTTGTTATTTTCAAAAGACTGAGTGTTGTCTCATGAGGTGGCTGTCATGTTTAAAATGACCATTAGGAATTTCTCTTTGAGGAACAATGTGGTCAAAGAAACACACACACACACACACACACACACACACACACACACACACACACACGTATTCATGAAATTGTAAAAAATAAAAATAAAAAATGCCCTCTTCCTCAATCAGAGTTCTCTATGATAGACTAAGCATAATTTCCCATCCCATTTGTGTGTGTGTGTGTGTGTGGGGGCATCCAGGGAATCAGTATCTATTTGTATACTCAACTGTACTTATAATAAAAAAGGCTAGCTAGCATATTGTGCCAAGAATATGAGTTGAGTCATTGTATAAGGCATGGCATTATTATAATTAAACTTAGTTGTTGAATCTTTTAAATTGCTAACATACAAAAATCCTAATAAAGTTGATTTTACCTCCAGGGCTGGAATAAATGACTGTTCACTTGGTTGAGTAGCCGATGAGGTGGTTGGCTGGCATTTAAGAGCTGTATTGCATGAAAAATACTTCTTATTTACTTAGCAATTCTGTTATTAAATTGTCTATATGACTAATGCTATGAAATAGTGACTGCTTCCACTTAAAGATCCACTTACATAGTACCTTAAACATGGTAGGCACTAAGCAAGGTGAGGCCCTTGCTACGCATTCCTCAAAAAAACATTCAAGTGGAAAAGTAGGAAATGAAATTGACATTTGACAATCATGGGGGAAACGTATGGTGACATGAAAGAGGAAACAGAAACAAGTTCACATGGAATCATTAACCAACTTTCTAACATTAGTATCTTATAGCAATTTGACTAATCACCAAATACCACTTTTTATTGTTTTTCATCTCTATTAAAATTTTTTATGTGCACCTATGTATGTGCATGGGTACACTGAGAGGCTGGTAGAGGGTGTTGGATTCCCCTGGTAGCTAGGGTAATAGACAGTTGTGATGGGAACTGAACTTGGGGTACTCTGGAAGAGCAGCAAGCACTCTTAACTGCTATGTCATCTCTCTAGCCACCTTCCATCTTTTTAATGAATACACAACAGGTGCCATTATGAGTTTTACATTTATAATGTATACTTTGCTTACATTCACCCATGATCTTCTTGTTCCCCTCACTTGTCCCATTTCTCCTAATAATATCCCTTCTACTTTCTTTGTGTGTATATGCATATATATACATAATCTAGTTCTGCATGAGTAAAAATATGAGATACTTTTCTGAGTCTAGCTTATTTAGCTTGACATAATCTCCAGTTTCATATATTTTCCTGCAATTGGCATAATTTAAAAGAACATTGGTTTTCAGCAAATTCCCAGAATATTTAACTTTGGGATTCACCTCTGTGATGGTTAACATTAACTGGCTTGACAGGATCTAGATTCTCTTAGGAAACAAGCAGCTGGGTATGCCTGTGGGGGATTACCTCAATTAGGTTAGTGTCTGTCCATGTCTGTGAGCACCCTACCAACTTGGCCACTTCCCAACCTCCATTTCTTTTTAAAAGGTAGAGGTTCTGTTGTTTGTTTAAAGAGACTCCATCATTGCTGCCAAACTAAAGCAGTTAAAAAAAAAAAAAAAACAAAACTGACAATTTAGTGTACACGAAAGACAAACATTTTGGAAAGGAAGATTCTTCAGGCCCTGAACCTTCATTTTCTACCTATAAATTCCGGGCATTGTAGCTGTATCCTTAGCAGGTAGGAAAAGAATCAAACAAAATTGAAACTTTGAAAGTATTTTGCAAACCCTAAAACACTGCACACATTAAGCAGCTAAAGGACCACAGAAACATAGACAATTTAATTTCTACTGTGAACATTTTATTTTGACAAACTTTACAGATTCTTAAACTCACAAACTTTCACTTACTTAAAAAGCAAACAACAAACATCACACTCCAATATTTCAGGACTGAATACTCTAGTACCACATTAGCTGCATTTTATATCCCATAAAGCAAACTGACATTCACAATTACAAGTGTACAAACACACCTGTTTTTAAACTACACAGTCTCTTGTCAATAGATGCCTGTATTTTTGTGGCAACTATTGGTAGATACAACTTTATGATTATCAAATTATACAAATCATTTTTTCTACCCTTGATTTGGAAATTGAAAAATAAGAGGAATGGAGTAAAGAAAATGCTGCACTCACTGCACAAAGCACATTATGGCAGGAATGCTAGGAGTTCTCCTTTTGTGTTTATGAATTTTAAACTTATTAATTTTGTGTGTTTTTGTGTGTACCATGGCACACATGGGACACATGTGGAAGCTGGAGGATAATTTTCAGAAGTTAGTTCTCTCCTTCCACTATGGGTTCTAGGGCCAAACTCAGGTCTTCAAGCTTGTAAGACAAGCACATTTACCTGCTGAGCTGTCTGACCAGCCTGGGAATGACTCCAAAAAATTTATGTTTATCATAGTTTTAAACCTTTAGTATCAAAAGCAAGTTAAATGATGTATTTATTTGGTATCTAAAAGTCTAGCAAATTATAAATTTTATTCAATTAATTACAAACACACATGTGAAGAGCTTAATAATGACTGCTCAGTAGAACCCTGTGTGGTTCTGAACTATTACTTGTGTAGTTGCCTTCTCTTAACATGGAATTTAAGTCCTTAACGAGAACTGTAAGCTTATTCTGCACTGTAGTTAACATGTTTCGACATGGATTACGTGATTGCTTTTTATACTGACTTTTCACCCATACATACAGAAAAAGTGCTTATCAATGTAAATGATCTACTTCTTAAATCCTAATACAAAGACGAAGGCACATAAGCAGGTAACAACTTATGTGAATATGTGTAGTGCAGCCATGAGACTGTTTGGAAGCATCCATGTGTGCTTATTCTATGCCTTTCTTACTGCCTTGAGACAGCCTCTCCCTGATCCAGAAGTCATTGTTTCGTGCAGGCTGGCTCGCCACCAGGCTCTCAGGATCTGCCTGTCTCACTTCCCCATTACAGGTATCCTCAACTACGCATGGCCTTTCATGTGGGTGCTGGGGACTCAGACACAGGGCCTCATGCCTGCAGAACAAGTGCTCACTCTCACTGAGCCACCTCCTTAGCTGCAACCAATGTATTTCAGATGAATATCTTCAATCCATATTCAATCCAATTTTAACTGCTGTCTTTAGGGAGCTATCACAAATTTGTAAGAAACTTCTAGGACTTGGGAAAATTAGTTAAAAACAAAATCCTGCAGCTCTGTGCAACCATGCAGTATCCTCCACTCTGTGGGCATGGCTGCTCACTTGCTTTTCTATCTTGTAGGCTGTAACAACTGAAGTTTCAGCACTCACACCAGGAAGACTGAGAAAGAATTTGGTAAAATCAGTCAGTCTCCCACAGAAGTTTCTAATCTCGTTACAAGATTTCATAAATTTGTAAGTTAAATTTTAAAATAATTACAAAGCCATTTACTCTAACACAAATGAATGGAATGTAATTAAGAATCACAGTTATAAAACTCTTTAATTTTAAGGAATATTATTTTTCATTTATACGTAAGGAAATTCAATAACTAGCAGCACTGAAATACAGAAATGGTCCCATTTCTCTTTCCTTTTATAGAGTATAATAAATTGCCCATTTTTAAATGGGCAGACTATCTAGCCTTTCCGTAACTGCATCACAGCTCTTTGAGTAGATAAAAAAAGTAATAAAAATGAAAGATTTAGCATTTTGAACATTTGTGAAATGATGCTACAAAGCATAAAAACTATGAATGTATTAATAAAATTAAAATGTCTCTTACATGAGAACCATATTAAGTTGATTTAATAATTACTTCACAGAAGCATAGGCTTATTAATATTTATGTTGAGTTTTGCTATTTTCTAAGCAAGAAAAGGTTTGTAATGTAATATGTCAGTCTTAAGTATTGTAAGCTTTATCAAAAAGAATCCCCAGAATACAAAGCCCAGAAAGTTCAGAATTTAAGAGTAGCAAAACAAGTTAGTGATAAACAACAAGACATACACATTAAAAAAAAAAAGTACCATAGGTTGCTAAGTGTTCTTCTATTTAAATAAAAATTTGTGGTTAATTATGTACCGACTGAATAGTGTTATATAGGCACAAACCAGATTACAGTAACTTAAAAGCAAATGCTGCTTATTTCTTCAGTTCAGTGATTAAAAGTGAAATCCCTTTTCACTTTTAAAAATGGGAACAGCAACAGCAACAGCAACAACATTTCCATCTTGATTAACATGATTCTCATTTGTATTTTCACATTTCAACTCTGACCTTGACATTCTTTAGCACCTTAAGCAAGTGTGAATAATAGGAAATCAAGAAAGCCTGTAGTTTTGTTCATTTCCAAACATTATCAGCTTCAGTTTGCATTACCCTACACTTTGCATTTTCGGATGCCCTTAGCAAGTTAGAAAAACAGTCTTGAAATGGTTCTTACTTTGCATGTTATCTAGTGATGGTTAAAGCAAAGGGCCTCTAAGTCATCAATCAGTTTCAGTTCTCACAAGTTCCAGGTTACAAGGGTGGGGTGAGGAAAAGACATTTCCTTGCCCCAGAATGCTATCCTGAAAGAATTACTACTATTCACCCCAAGCCTGCAAGTTAAAATTCGTAATTTATCCTGTCTTTTCTGGTTCCACTTCTTATCCACAGCTAGTATTATTCTACCTTGAAGACAAATCTTCGCATTTCTCACACGAATTATTTTTTACCCAAATACATTGGACTTCGGTCTCAGTTTGAAGGAAGATGAATAGCCTTTAAAAGACTTTTCCTCTTCCTCCTCTTCCCCTTCCTCCAGTGGCTGTTCAGCTTCCTTGAACGAGGGAGTGTTGTGAATGATCTGGGTTCGGAACCGGATTTTGTTGAGTCGTGGTTTTATCCGTCCACTCGAGCTGCCCGAGGCTTTGCGTCCTGAATCTTTTGCTTTGCTTCCAGTCCATCCCTCGGTGAGGTGGTGATGGTGATGTTCAGCTCCGTCTTCCGAGGACTGCGAGAGTTTGTAGGTGATGAGGTGTGACGGCAGCACCTTTGAAAGTCTCCAGCGGCCGCTTCCGCGGCCGGTGGCGCTGTCTCCATCATCTTCGTCTAGGGCTCCCACCAGGTTCTTTATCTCTTCTGCAATGCTCTCACTCAGATACTGAGAGGCCTTTTTTCCGCTGTAGTCCCTGATGTCTACGTCTGCGTCGTAGGCCCCCACTAGTAACTTCACCACCTCCACATGTCCGTGCATCGCTGCCAAATGTAGAGCAGTGTAGCCTCCGCTCGACCTGGCATTGATGTTCACTGGCAGCTGGTGTTTGCTGGCAAAGTTGACCAACATGGCCAGGAGCTCCTGCCTGCCCTGCTTGGCGGCCCAGTGGAGACAGGTGAAGCCGGTGATGAAGTCTCGCTTCGACAGCAGTCCAGGCTCACAAGTGAGCAGCCCCTCTAGGCTGTCCCACTTACCCTCCGACGCTGAGAGCATCCAGGCGTGCTCGAGAGGGTCCAGCGAAACCGAGCCCCCGCCGGTGCTCTCCTCCTCGGCGGAAGACGAAGCCAGCGAGGCGCTATCGGAGTCACCCCCTCCTCTGCTGCGACCTCCTGCGGAGAAGCTCCCCGCGCAGCCGTCTGCGGGACACGCGCTCCTCTTTAGTTGCGGAGAGCTGCCCATAACTAAGTCCCTAAAGTTCTGACGGGCCGACCTCGGCGCATTTGGCCCATTAGGGGAACCGCCCCCTTCAGCTTCCTCACCACCGTGTGGAGGGAGTTTAAGGTTCTCGCTGGTCTCGGCGCCCGGCGCCCAGGACACAGCCTGGACCTCCAGTGGCGAGTCCTTACACTGGGCCCCGCCTTGGGCAGGGGCCAGAGGCTCCTGGTCGCTCAGTCCGAGAGACAACTGTGGATCTGCCTCCTCTTGGAGCTGGCTGCCCCCGCCTGGTTCCGCTGGAAGGTCTGGGACTTCGGGCTCCTCCGTCACCTCGATCCGCGGGAGCTCCCGGGGAAGTGCGGCCTCATTCAGAGGGAGCTCCCCCGTACAGAACCTTTTCTTAAGATGCACGTACTTGGTACCATCCGCGGGATCGGTGCGCACGGTGGCCACTGCGTTGACCAGTTCCTTGAAGTGCTCGCGGGCGCGGGTGCGCTGCTCGCGCGGGCCACCCAGGGCGTCCCTGAAGTGTTGCACCAATTCCGAGTGTCGGGCCCGGCCCCCGCGCTCGGCGAGAAAGCGCAGGATCGCCTCAGAGCTTGGCTCTTGCGGCCCCTCCATTCTCCGCTGCTCAGCTTCTCAGCCCCAGGACGGCTCAACCCGACATCATAGCCAGGCGTCAGGAGGACCCGAAGACTAGCTGGTTGCACGCGAAGCCAGGTTTTAAGAGTCTAAGCCCCGCAGACACCGCCTCACTGGGGCAGTGTCCCCGTAGACACGCCCCGCCCCGCCCACTTCCGCTTGGGCCTCAATCTCTGCGCCAGTCTGCGGCCCTGTGGCCCCGCCCACTTCCGGGCTCCGTGCGCGCTCGCAATCACTGTTTCCGTCTGTGGCGGGAGTTTGTGTACCCAGAGTTTTCTGCGAGTCCCATGTTTCTGGTCACCCTCCTGGCCCACTGGCTTTTTGTTCAAAACGAACGAGCGGAGGGGGTCACACCGGGAGAGGCTCGCAGGGAGCGCGGGAAACTTTGGGTAGTCCCTGGCGTCCTCCCACCGCCGTCAGCCTAGGCCCCGCCCCAGCCCCCCAGCCAAGGCCACCCCGCCTATTAACGGCCGCGGGTCGCCCGGCCCGCCCCGCGCCCCGCCGGTTACGCCCAGCGGGTCTCTCTCCGATCTGTCCGGGGACGCGCGTTTGGGTCCGGACCTGAGACCACCGTGTCGCTACATCTCACCGGGGCTATGGCCTCACTGGACGACGTGCGGGAGCTGGTGAGCCCGCGCCCTTGTGTCTCCCGGTCCCGGTGGAACTCCCTGAGTTCCTGTCCCGCCTGGTCGCCTCTGGGCCAGCGGGATTGTGACCGTGTGGCTCCGGGACTCCGCGTGGCTTGGAGAGTGGGCTCCCTGCTGCCGCAGGGGGAGGGCTGAGGAGCTCTGCCGAGAGACTGTGTGTTGGGGGAGTTGTATTTGCCAGGCATCCTGATCCTGGCCGAAGTGGTGGTGGTGGTGGTGGTGGTGGGGCAGTAAAGTAAATTCCGGAGGATGATTGGTGTCTGTCACTTGGTAACGGTTTTTATTTTTGAGCAGGCCTTGGAATCCGCCTAGTTTGTGCAGTTGCGTACACGCACGTGACTGCTAACCGGGAAGTCGGCTTCCCTAGCTTTTCCAGTGCTTGCGGTTTTACTGTACTGCTTGGTGGTTCTGTTTTGCTTTCCCATCCCCCTGGAATTAAAAGAACACATCATTGATCCTATATTTTGTGCGTTTTAAATAACTTTTTCCATACCTTGTTTTACTTGATATGGGATAGTAAGCCGTTATTGGATAGTTATCCGAATGGTCATACTATTTTCGAACTACCAAGCTCTTAATCTTGCCTTTGTTCCCATCGTTTTAGTACTGTACATTGAATGTTAAGCTGCTGCATGGCATAAAATAGCCTGTTTTTACTCCTCTGACAGCCTCATGCAGTAAATGACTTTTTTGGCTACTTATTAATTTGCCTTTATCCAATATTAATGAAAATAATCCTCTTAACTATTAAATACTTTGACATTGGTAGTATATGCCGGCTTCTTAATCTCAAGCAATATTACTCTAAACATTTTCCAAGTAACTTCCTGCTTACTGAAACTAGTGGCTCTTACTATCTTTCTATGCTTCATTTTAGTTGTAGAACTGATTTCAAGATTAAAATAAAAATAATAGGTAAATCAGTATTTCTGTGTGAACCATGACCATTGACATGAAAATTCATCATATTCTTCGGCTATAGAAACCTTAATGGCCATCTAGTAAAACCACTGTCTAGTGAAAAATATCCTCATTTAGTGATTTAGCAGTACCATCTAATTCTTCAGCATGATGAAACTTTATTTCTTGTTAAATGTATCCTCACTAATACAAATTATTACATATTTTTTTGAAACATTATCTGTTAGACACAGTAACTGTATTCCCATCCAGCCCCATATTTGCCATGATGTCTACTGTGGGTGAATTATTCAGTATCTACATGTGAATGGAGTTTTAACATGTTTAAATCGGTTTATTGCTTCATGTAGAAAGAGGTTTATATTATAGGTCATATACTTTTATAGAAAGCAGAAAACATTGTCATTATTTGCAGTTAATAGCAATAGCATTTATAGTGAAGTTCTACCGTGAGGATATATGTTCTGAGGAGCAACAGTCATAGTTTTATCAGCTATTCTTTACATTGGTTTTGATTTACTCAAATGAATCTGAGACATCTCAGTTGATAAAGCTATGTTATTATCATTAAGCTGATTATTTCCCCCTCATCTGATAGTTGTTGAGAATATATTTTTGCTGCCAGTCTTCCCTTGTTTGCTTCTACTTAAATGTCATTCCACATGTAATTGTATTCATTACTTTCATCGATAAATGAAGGTGTAGAGACCAGAACTTTATCTGGAAAAGTCCTGAGTGTTCTGGAATAGTAGCAGTTCTCTTTCTGGGTTCCATAATTTTTTTATATCATATGTTGGGGGTTCTGTTTTGGGAAATGTGGTTACCAAATTGTTGCATTAGCCACGAATTCACCGTACCTAGGAATTTTAGGATTTCTGTAATTCTTATTACAGACTCTTAAGCCCTTTTAAGTGAAGGAATAAAGAAATAGTTGGGGAAATGTTTTTAAAGTAAAGCAGAGTTGGGATAAAAATATAACCTGAAGTTAAGCAGCCTTCGCAGTGGGGGGGGCACGACGATTGAAGTTAAGCAGATGTCTGAAATGCAGCCTTCGCAGTGATGGGGGGCACAACGACAGTGAACTCAGGCTTCGGCATGTCACTGTCACTTCTGTTGTTTCTGTAACCATGTAAGATGCTTGAGAACTCTTGTAAGGGAAACAAGTGCTGTTGTTATGTATAACATAACCATGATGGAAGAAAAGTTAAAGCCTGTCAGCTCAGCCATAGTACATTTAAGGCAATCCAAAGCTTCTTCGTTTTAAAGAATTCTAATTACTTGATACCCTGGCCTGAGACAAATGACTGATGTGAAACACATGGCAATTTAGTAGAGATGAGGCAGTAATCATCTAGTTAGCTCTGGATGTGTTTGAGGAATATTTATTGGCAGAAGTATAAGTTGAATAGGAGACATTTTCATATATGTCAGGCGTGAGTAATATAACTGAAGAACATGGTACGTAAGTTAAAATGTACATTGTGAAGAATAAGGGTTTTGAGTTGGGTTGCAGGAGAAGAGAACATCTGTTTGGGTAAAAAAGTGGGGGCCTGGTGTACTGGTTTGCCACTAAAAGTGTATGCTAAATGTGGGTTTCCCACTCCAAGCTCGTTTAAACAGTCACAGGTCAGAAAACTTACGAAAGGGGCTTATTGAAAGTAAGATAGAAGAACTGAAGGCATCTTCTGACTACTTTCTCCTAATCAGGTCAGGTGTATGCGTCAGCAGCACATATACTGAAATTAGAATGCAGATTTGGGGACCTCTATATTTTTCTATTTTGGGGGAACAGGGAGACCCGTAGGATTCAAGAGAGGGTTAAGGGAGGCTGAAAAAGGGGCCAGTGAGTAGCATTAAAGAATATTGTATAAATGTTTGGAATGTCATATTGAAAACCATTATTTTATATAAATGATAATAAAGCAACGAGATTAAGCTTATGATAATATATACCTTTAAGCCTTTAAAGAGATGGGGTGTGTGAGAAGGATGAGGCAGGAGGAGCATAAATTCAAGGTCAGCCTAGGCTACATAGTGACTTCAAGACTGGCTTGGATTAGAGAGAGAGACATTATTTCAAGTAACAAAGCAAAACAAAAACTAAGATTCCCAGTTTATTCTACCCTGCATGTTGGCCTTATTTATGGAGGTTATGAGAAATCTTTTTTTCTAGTTAGATAATCATATTTAAATAAGTAATGCATTGTGAAATAATAGGTGTAGAATTTATCCACAGATACCTATTTTGTGAGTTGTCTATACTATTTTTTTAATTGTCTAATGAACATTATACAGAGTGGTATTTTTGTTTGGCTGTAGGTATGCTATATAGCAAGAATATTAGTTTGAGTTGTGTCAGGCCAGAATTAGTGGGATACTTTTGAAAGTTCAAATAGAAAGATGTCTTATTGAGGCAGTTGTTACTAAGGCAGTACTGTGTATGTGTAGGTAAGAAACGTTACTCACAGGTGTCTTTCTTAGTTTAAGCCGCCAACTTGACATACTCCAGAGTCACCTGTGGCAGTCTCTATGGATAGATTGCCCAGATCAGATTGGTCTGCGACCATGTCTGTGAGGCTTCTTGATTGTTAGTTGATGTGGGAAAATCCAACCCACTGTTGGCAGTGCCATCCCCACGGGAGTTTCTGAGCTGTGTAAGAAATCCAGCAGAGAGAAAGCAGAAAGCTGGGTCTTCTTCCCTAATACAGTCTGCTAGTCTGTTGTCCCGAGACCACTACTATTCATGGTTATCATTGAGATATGCATATTGGTTCCTATCATTTTGTTTGATTTTATAGTGTTCCTAAATCTCTTTTGGTTTGTTGGTCTGGTATTTATTTTTCTCCTGTGGTATTTGGGTATTTCCTGTCTGTAGGATTCCTTCCATTATCCTCCTCCCAGTGTTTGCCTTAGTGGTCACAAATTGCATTAGTTTATTTTAATCATACGAATTTTAATTTTTTTATTAGGATAGGTAATTTTACTGAGTATAATAGTCTAGACTGACAATATTCAGAATACAGATCTCTAAGCCCCTCTTGATGTAAAACTTTGTTGTGACTCATCAGCTGTTTTACTATGCTTGGTTCACTTAGTTATTAATTAGACATGCTGACCAAAAGAAACCTGCTGGAGTGGATTTATTTGGTTTACACTTCCAGGTCATAGTACATCATTGAAGCAAATTGGGGTGGGTATCATGTAGTAATACTGCGTGCTGGATCACATTCAGATTTGCTCATTGGCTCATGCTCAGCTAGTTTTCTTCCACAGTCCAGAACCACCTACCTCGGGATGGTACGCTCCACAGGGGGCTGGACCACCACATTAATCATGAGTCAGGACAATATCTCACAGACATGGAATTCCCTCAGATGACTGTAGTCAACAGCTGATGTTAGTGAGGAAGGATACCCCTCTTTATTCTGTTTTTAGAGTTTTAACTAGGGCCTGGAGAGATGGCTCAGAGGTTAAGAGCACTGGCTGCTCTTCTGGAG